AAATATATAAAAGAATGCCTGTTTTCTCATTATTATTTTTTTAAATTGTAATGGATTGCTAACAACCCAATGTGTGTATTTTTTGGCAAAAAAATAATTCATTCTTTGATGACTGAATAAGTGCAATTGAAGAGTTCAGATGCAAAAGCCTCTAAATCTAAAAGCCTTCACTTAAATGGCAATGATAATTAATTGTTATTTAAGTGAAATTACTGAACATTAAAGAAGAAAATTTCAAATGGCATTTAGAGGCTTTTGCATCTGAACTCTTCAATTCACCTTTATTCCACAATGAGGCAATGTCTGATACACAAAGATGAAGTGACATTTCACTCATAGTAACAGCAAACAGAAAACAAAAGAATAGGAAGTATCATCAGCAAAACTGAAATGTCTTTGAGATTTACTGCAGAGCAAGATCTGGACACAATATTAGTTTATTAATATTAATATTAGTGTCGCTGCCACTTCATGGTGGATCTGGTGAAGAAACTTTCAGTGATCAAAATAATGATTTTGAGATTGTGAATATGAGCTATGGTGAATGTAATGGGAGATAAGCTCTGACGAGTACGGTGATGATGGTATAAAACATCTGCTCAAACTGAACCCTTTCAAGCTCCAAAAGGTAACTAAATATGCTTTATTTAATGTTACTCTAATATCAGGAGAGTTTTATAATATCGCGACATGTAGATATCAATCTGTTAGATATAGTTCTGGGTCGCTAAAAACCCAAATGCGAAATGATTGGCTAAATATTCATACATTTAAAGGTTTATCAATTAGTTTACCATAAGTTTCCTCTTCTGATGTCATGTCACCGTGTTCAGCAACGTTTAAAAAAAAAAAAAAAAAAAAAACTCTATTTGATTCCTATCCAGGGGACCAAAAGGAGAGGTTCTGGAACTGAATGTACCTTGTTTATACAAAAAAAAAAAAAAAAAATGCAGGGGTGGGTTATATATATAGTAAATGCAGAATATGACAGACAAAATCCTGTGGGATCCACAGTAGCCTATAAAGTTGTTTTAGTAGTAAATGGCAAATACTTTCTTGCACAGTTTAGACGTTTTCTTCAACTATAGTGCCCCCTTAGCATCAGAAATGGATGTCATGCTCCATCAGATTGTGTTGGTGTCCCTGTGTTACAGGTTTCAAACAAGTATATTTTGCAGAAAAGCTGGAAAATTAAAACCATTTATTGGTTTTGATTTTGATTCTGGCCCAAATATTTTTAATAGTTATTATTAAAAATGCAATTGCTGTATTCTAGTGTCTAGTGTCTGAAGAATGTATATGCATGAGTGGAGGGTGAGATTTTAGGGAATGAATAAAAGTGAATAATAAGAAAATATGAAGAAATGCAGAAACCCAGCTTATTATTATTATTATTTTTACCAGTCTGAACATTATAAGGGGAAAAAAATAAAATTAAAGGTAATCGCATTTCTGTTTCTACTTATAACCATGTTCTGAGCACACCTCAGGTGTTGTGTGCACAGTACAAGCACTGCTGTCTACTTTATTGGATATTATTCTTGTCAAGCTGAAATTACCTCATGTCTTCACCCCCTCTTTTACCCTTTTATCCGACTCTCTCAAGTAGACGTGAAAGTGGGTCAGAGAATTCAAGGATTTATAAATTAAAAGGCTTTTCAAAATGGAACTAGTTTAGTTTAGCAACTGGGACGCTAATATCGCAACTGTGTGACCATAATGAGGTCTGTTTAATTTAGTATATTTCATGTGCAACAAAATGTAATTTATTTATAGTAGAGTATGTAAACTGGCATGGCCACACAAAGTGTAATATGCCAAATGACTGTGTGTTGATAAATAGCAACACATAGTGTCATGTTAGAGTGAAGGGACAATACAATACATCAATACTGTAAGGTGTTTTCTGAATCTAGATCTGCCTTGAGGAAAAATACTGTGAATTAATGTCAATCTTGATGTTACATTGTACCAGAAGCAGATCCTCAGTCAGCCTTTCCTGAAAACCTCCAACCCTTTTGTCTGTGTGAATGTTAGACACATTGGGGTGAATGCAGTTTTGTTGCACCGATTTTTTGTGCAGTATATTAGCACAAAAATGCATTTATTCAATAACTGGCTGAAGTTTAACCAGGCTGTATTTGCTGTATTAGTTATTGTCATTCTGTTCATCACAAACAAACCTTTCTATGTTCATTATGTGTATATATTATTCACAAAATGTTAGCCTTATTCACAAAATTCAGTGCAGTTTGGCTGGTGCAATTAACATGGGGCTTTTGCCAATTACAGAAATGGTGGCATTGGCACACTAAATGATAGAGAAGACCATTATAATAAGTCATATTACAGTATGTCTAGCTCGTACGGCATGGTGTAGACAAGCATACTTTTGGCATTTTAAAAAGCAAATTTAGGTGATTAATTGGTAAGTTTATGGCATTACCTGATTTGCCCCAAACTCTCGCAAATTCTTTGAGCATTAAGCATGTGCAAATGACCAGCGCTATCAGTGAGTGCAATTCATTCTTAACAAATTTTCGCATTTCGCCAGAAATATGTTATACTTTTTTTTAATCAATAATTTTCAAGTAACACAAAGTTTACAATTTATATTTTGTTTTAAAACATAAACTTAGTCTTCCAATAATGTACCGACATAAATGAGAAATTTAAAAGAATGCTTTCTATGACATTTATTTTAAATTTTAGGGACAGAATAATTATTTTCTAGTTCAAGTTAAGCATAAAAGTAATAATAATAATAATAATTATAATAATTCGTTACATTTATATAGCGCTTTTCTGGACACTCAAAGCGCTTCACATAGAGGGGGGGGGGGGGGGATTTCCTCAACCACCACCAATGTGCAGCATCCACCTGGATGATGCGACGGCAGCCATATTGCGCCAGAACGCTCACCACACACCAGCTTACTGGTGGAGAGGAGACAGTGATGAAGCCAATTGGTGTATATGGGGATGATTAGGAGGCCATGATGGACAGAGGCTACTGGGCAAATTTGGCCAGGATGCCGGGGTAACACCCCTACTCTTTCGAAAGACATCCTGGGATTTTTTATGACCACAGAGTCAAAAGTACTCTTTTGTCCAGTGCAGATGTTCATTTTATGTAGGAATATGGTGGGGAATTATGGATGGATGGATGGACGGACGGATGGATGGATGGATGTGTAGATAGGTGGATAGATGGGTAATTGGATGGGTGGATAGATATATAGATGGAGGGATAGATGAATGGATGGAAGCCTACATGAGTCTATATTAAACAGTCTTGGCTCATTGGTTCTCCTGTGTGCCTTCATGATTTTGATTGTGATTTTGATTTGATTTTTTTGGGGGCTGACAAATATAACTTGTAGATGGATTGTTTTCTAAATAAAATGTCCTAAAATGTACACAACTTTAAATTAACATACAAAATAAACATTGGAATTTAAATAAGTTGTCACAGAATAAGAATATGTGATTAACTTTCAAATTGAATTTTGACAAAAATGTCAGATAGTGTTTCAGTTGTTGGGTGTCGGTTGATGTTTCACTGTAGCGTTGTTTCTGAGTTTTGCTCTGAGTTTCAGAGTTTTCTGAGTTTTGTTCCTGTTTCTAGTTTCTTTGTTTTCCGGGGATTTCCCTTTTGTTTGTTTATTATCATTATTAAAACTATTGTGCTTGCATTTGGATTCCTCCTTGCCTCCTCATCGTTACAATAATTCCAAGGTGACAAATTGATTATCATTTAAAATGGTTTACAAGCTAACACACCAGAATTCATTTTATGACATTGAAGACATGTAACTTCAATTACTGCCTCAACGTCAAGGTCCTCCTTTATTCAGAAGGACTGGCTTGATTCGTTGGTCTGAGAGAGATTAGCTTTGGTTTGAAGCTTCTGTGTGAAATCAAGGACACGCAGGTGTGTCACGTGCTTCCATTCATTCAGGCCATGAATCTAGAATTACAAAATAATGTATTATTTCCCTAGAGAATGTATGTGTGTTGACCAAGTGTATTTAAAGAGAAGTCAAGTGAAGTGTTTTTTTTCCCTCTCTCTCTTATAAAATACCCAATCTAGTTCCTTGTTCTTGTTTCTTGTTTCAGTGACCTTGGTGCAGAGCTTAGAGTTAGTCAAACAGATTCACCACGATGACCAACAGAAAGCTGCTTGGTTTAAGTCTGTTTGAGCTGCTTCATATAATACATTGACTTGGCTGGTGCAACCACAGAAACCGAAAATTCTCGGGACAGCAGCATGTGTTCAAATTGTAATCTCAACCGCTCTAATTCATCAAAAACAATCTTAAAACAGGGCTTTAAGTGTAAAATACCGAACTTGTCCTTTAACCAACACTATCTTAACAGTAACGTTCTCCCTGTACAAAAGAGCTGCCTTCTCCTTTTTGTTTTGTGGTGTAGTTCAAACCATTTGTGACAAAATTTCAGTAATGACTTAAAACTTTGAACGAGACTGCTGCAGCCTCTAACAAGTCTACTTTTTAGGTAGGCTAATTATATTCTATCAGCTCACAAAGCATAAAATCATTTACATTAGTTGGTCAAGTTATCTGAAAGATGGAATTTAGTATTGCAAATAAACATTTAAAAGTACATATTTTAGTTGACTTTACAAATTAGATTGCATAAAGCACAACAAAATGGTTATTCTTTGAAAAAAAAAATCTCTCAATAAATACATGCGCATAAAATATTTAAAAAATGCAATTATCACATATTGCTGTGGCTAGCAATCACAATTCTGCTGAGCTGAAATAAAAGGGTACATCTTATTGCCCACTTTGCTATGAATAATTGATGATACCATCAAAACAAATTGACTGTATCTTTAGAAGTTAATGTAAAAGATAACGGTGAAAGATTCAGGCTATATGGGAAGTCAAGTAATCACTAAAATATCCTACTGATATACTTAAATTTCCTATTGGACTCTTTCATTTTCTTTCCTTCTGTGTGTGTGTTTTCAGGTTGACATGCTTCGGCCAACAAAAATCACAGGCATCATTACCCAGGGGGCTAAAGACTTTGGACATGTTCAGTTTGTCGGCTCCTACAAGGTGGCTTACAGCAATAACGGCGAGAGATGGTTTATATATCAAGACGAAAAACAGAAGACAGACAAGGTAGGATTCTTTCTCTCACAGTCGCATGTCAAAAACATATATTTTTGCAAGACCAAAAGAAATCTTTTGACCAAAGGCGCTTTTATCTCAAGGTTGATGTGAATCACCTTGATTTATTTTTCCATTTCTGTGTGTATTTATTCCTTTCGCTTTTCTTTTCTTTTCTTTTTTTTTTTTTTTTTAACCACATACTGTGTGTACTTGTTTTTTTGGTAAACCTAAACACTGTCTAGATCAGGGGTCTCAAACTCAACTTAACTGGGGGCCGCTGGAGGTAGAGTCTGGGTCAGGTGGGGCCGCATCAAGTATTCCACAAAAAAATAGAAATCAAGTATTCCAAAAAAGGAGCACAACTGAATCTTCTCAATCTTTATTATTAATGTTTATTCTGAACTGTTAATCTGAATTTGAACATTCCTTTCTGTACATGATTGGTTCTTCATGAGCCGTCCTTCTGACAGTTGAAGTTCATTTTACAAACTTTCTTTGTATTTTCCTTATACACAACATCTTTGTGATGCTTCATTTTACAAACATTATTTTATTTTCCTTATAACACATTTTTTGTGATACTTACAGTATATGTGCTCATGTCCTTTTCATTTTCTTTATACAACACATTAATATGATATTGAATGTTTTCTACACATGTATAGTGTCTCAGGAAAATTACTGACTTTGCACAAATCAAAGCAAACCTTCTTATCGACCTGTTGGATGCATATTACAAGCTCAAAATGATTATTCTCTCATTGTTTTAGAGCAGTGGTTTCCAACATGTCTCTCGCAAGCTACCAGTAGCGCGTGGCCTGATTGGTGGTAGCTCGGGGCCTGTTCACATATCGCGCTCACATATTTTGGCGCTCAAGTTCGTTATTTCAAATGTAGGTTTGCGGTAAGTGCCCTCAAACAACAACAAACCCACCGTATAAGCTGTCAATAGACTATCTATGGTAGCCCATAAGAATTAAAAAAAAAAATGCGGCACATGCAACAATGGGCACACGCACTAACGACACATGGACTAACATTAAATTGTAATGTCAAGTATGGGGGCCACAAAATAGGGCCTCGAGTTTGAAACCACTGGTCTAGATAGTCATTGTTTTCTTTAAGGGCCAATGTGTAGGATTTTCTCCCATCTAGCTGTGAAAATGTATTTTCCAGTCAAACGAATTGTGTTCTCCAGCACCTCGCTTTTTAAAATGCACATTGCATCTACGGTAGCCATTATGTACCAAAAAGCTATGACAGGATGTCTTCTAATAGCACTTTGTTGAGTGTTTCTTTAGGTGAACAGGTTTTTTTTTTTTTTTTCAAACAAACAGTAACTTGACACAACGAACAAACGAATGTTACAGTATGAATTACTGACTGGGAAAAACATGAACAATTCTAATAAGTAGTTATGCCTTCTTTATTCGTTATATTTTCTGAAGTAGGCCTACGTGCATTGCTAGATATCATCATCAACGTTTAACTATAAATGTTCATCTGTCTATAAAATAAAGTACACAACCAAACAATGAAAAAAAAGCTTGTAATTAAGACTATAACATTGACTTACCTGTCGAGAAGAAAGAAGGCAACTTCAGTGTCTCTTTTGAAATCTTTCTCCTGCATCAGCTCTATTAATCTGGATAAAGCTATCCATGAAACTATCCCGACACTAACTTGTGTTTTTTTTTTTTTTTTTTTTTTTTTTTCTAATCTCCGGTCAAGTTTCCTTTTACAATCTATTTTGGACTTTTCTGGCGACAAGGACTTGCAATGCAGCCTTTTAAAAAGTGGCAGTGACAAGCGCCTCACACTGCTTTGCTCCTCCACTTCTGCTGTGTTCAGTCACATCACACTGGCTCTGAATGAAAACGTGTTGTGGAAATGCATTGGCCTAGTACTTTTTGTCCCTCTCTGCTATTATAGTTTTTCAAGATGGCGGAACAACACGGAAGCCTCCGTGGACTTACCCGTCCCATGTATAATAATATAAGATAAGATAATTAATTCTTTGTTTATGAGGATAAGTCAGATAATTGGCAGAGGTATCTGTACACCATTGAGGATATATATATAAATACAAATATTGATTTTAAATAATAAAATACATTAAAAAAACAACACATTGTCCCTTTAAGCTGGCTTCAATAGACATGTTTGTGTCATAAACGTCATAAAATCCCCTTGTCTGGAAATGGGGCTGTATATTCGCCTACATCCTGTCAGCACTGTCCCAGGATACCTGGACACACTCTGTTTCTTTCTCCATGGTCTGCCTACATGCAGATAACAGTCCAATCTGCCCAGCCTCAGTGAATAGTGTGCCAGAAATGTTTGTTAACAACCCTCTGGTGGGTTAAATGTGTCCAGTCCATTGGCCTGAGCTTGTCCTCTGATGCTTCTGACTCTATTCTGTACCTAGCAATGATGTACATTCTGAAGATGTTGTTCAATATAATTTTTAGTGTTTGAAAAAAAAATGATCAAGGAGTCAGGGATATTAAATGGAAAATCTAAAAGATGACTAAAACATGGATTAAGGCAGTAAACAGTGTTTGTTTGTGAATATAATTTGTAGTGTTTGTTAGACCCAGTGTTGGGCAGTAGCGTCACTAGAAGTAGTGACGCTACTAGTTTAACTACATGTTTTTGGAATCAAATAGCTTGCTGCGAAGCTCTTTTTTGAATTAGTAGTGTGGTAGCATCAACACAGAACACAAACTGAAACATGCCTGCGATGTTTTCAGCTTATATGAGGACATTAATGCATGCAATTCATCTACACAGATGCTCTGAGAGTCGCTTTAGCAGCATTTTACCCTAATTTGAGAAAAAAATAAATAAAAAAAATAAACTATCATAAAAAAAAAAACACAGTGAGACTCTACATAGCATGGTCAAAATAAAAGGTTGGTTTAACCTTTGAAGAAAGTTTTGCATTAGGCCTACATTTTAAATAAATTGGTCATTACAATTTAAACCATAAAAAAAAAAAAAAAAAAATCTTATTCTCTCAGTATGGTCAGTATGGTGGCAAGATAAAGACTTTCAAAGTTTTAAATGAATAACTCTTTCCCTGTGATTTGTACTGCACTGGGTGAAAAGTGATATCAAATTGACAAGCTGTCATTGTCCACCAAAGAGTGGCATCAATGCCTTAACAACAAGTTGTGCAGATTTGTTCTGTAAACACTAAGGATTTAATTAAAATTGATTTGACTGGGGTTGTCACTACCCACTAACCTGCTCTCTGTGTACAGTACAACATTAAGCACTCAGAAGAGGAGTGACAACCACTCATGTGTGCTCATGATCATTATAATGTATTCTTCAGATCTCAGTGTGACTTCAGCCAAAACCTAAACTAATCTGAGTGTGCCTAACATCAAGAGATAAGAGAAAAAAAATGTTTGCACACTCATATAATGCTCACTTACCCTATAATTTCCACACAATCATCTCCTTAAAAACAATGTTTCCTGTTAGAAATCTTCAGCCCCCTGAAGCTTTTGGTAGGCCTATAGAAGACGCTGTGATTGGCACAATGCACACCCATCATTGATTAGCCTGGGGTCGACGTCAAGGGGTTAATTAGCCTGTGAATAGGACTATTCCCTCGCAGGCAATGGGCTACATAAGATCACATCACAAGATTAGCTGCCAAGTGGATGCCCTTCCCCCACCCAGCCATGTATCAGTAATGCTTTGGCTTATACGATTTATATCAGCATTTGAATGAAGAAACGAGATTGGATTCCCATGATGGGTATGACCAGCAGAAAGTAATATATAGAAATGGATGGATCATTCTCATGCTGTATAATCTGTATCAGTGTTGAATCATGACCAGGAAAGGTGAATGTTCCCTTGGGTCTTCTGGTAGTAGGTGCCCTTGATGTCCACATTGTAGAAATCAATACAGTGGAAACATTGCCCAATGGGTTAAATAGAAAGCACAGACCAGAACAGATTGGAGGGGAAAAGTAAAACTCTATTTCCAGCCACTGAGCAGGAAGTTTAAGGGAGGCTTAGTGACCAATAAAGGGCACAGTGGATATTATTACCTTTTGAATTTTAGAGGTGCTCTTCTGAAATGATTGCACTAATACCTGTGAAGACACAATACAGATGGACAGGCAGTATCTCGATGGTCAAGAGTTTTACACGATTTTTGGCATTTTTCGGTCACTCTTCTAAACGTATCACTTGGTCTGGTTCTTATCACACTATGCAGCTTTCAAGCTCTACTGAAATCTTATCTCACCCCCTCATATCCACAATTGCTTTCAACTCAAGGGGGGAAAACCAATATCAGATTGTATCATATCTCTTTTTTAACCTTTCAGATTTGGACCTGGTCTAATGGTATAGTTGTAGAGTGCTATTTATCTGGTTGTTGGAAATAGGGTTTTGAGGATGATGGGCCTTGAAGATGAAATTGAATTCAATGAAACCCACAATTTACTGTCTTCAGGTGAGATGAGCTCTGTAACACCGGTTGCATTAGCCCAATATATTAACCAGCAGTCACAGCTGTTCCTCTTAACATGGAATCATTTTCAGAATCACAGAACAAATCTCCATGGTTCTGAGAAAAGGTGCCAGTTTGGTAATATGTGAAACAAGTGAAATGGGTCACCATTAATGTTAGTTTTTTTTTTTTTTAAGGGGAAATATCACTTAATATTTTTAAGTGTTTATAACTACAGAAAAGTTGAAATTATTCTCTTCAGGTGCTTCGTTTATATCTTTATATTCTGTTTTGGTCATATTTTTTCAACCTGTTCAGATTTTTCTGCTCTCTATGATGTATTTTGAACAATTACGTCACAGTATTTGCAGCGGAACTGACAAATAAGGACGTTGACTACCGGCCTAACACTTCGAGCAATCCGCCATTCTTATTTCTCACTCCGATTTTGTAGTCCAAGCTCAATAATGTTACTAGAGGGCAAGTCAAAATGTTCGGTTGTTGGATGTAGTGACCCGAAGCACTTCAAGGA